CAAACTTTAAAGACTATGTTGAGGGTTTATAGTTATGACTATTCAGAGGATTTGGATAAAGAAATTCCATTTGCACATTTTTCAATCAGGGATGCATCTAACGAATCAACTGAATTCAATCCATTTGAATTAATTTTCAGACATGAGGTGAGAGGACCACTGAAATTAATTAAGGAAAATTTGGTAAATCAGTCTTCAGAGATCCTATATTTGGACTATAAGCCAAATTTTAGGGAAAGATTGAATAGAGTGGGTGAGTTGGCTCGACAACATTTGAAATTAGCACAGCGTTTGATGAAACAGGAAGCAGACAAGAAATCAAAAATTCATAGTTTCACTTGAGGAGATAAAGTGTTAATATTACTACCAGTAGTAGGCAAACCTTTAAGGTTAGGTAGGCCTTATCAAATCAAAAAAAAATTGAGTGAGATGAATTATTTGATAAGAACGCCAGATAGAAGGGAAACTCACAAAGTGTGTCATGTGAATAGGGTCAAATGGTATTCTGAAAGGGAAGGAAAACTAAGGGACAATGTGGTACTTATTACAACTCAAAATAAAGAACCAAATCCAGATAGATTTGAATTTGATATTCTTCAAATTAAATTGGATAATGAGGAAGGTCTCAAAAATTGTGATAAATTATTGAGTTACCTTCCAGAGGAAAATTGAAATTACCTTAAAGAGTTATTCCAAACACATAAAGAGATATGTGGCATGATTATGCATGATGTAGATATAGGAAATACTGTTCCAAGTAAGCAAGATCCTTATAGACTTCACCCTCTAAAATTGGCACAGGTTCAAAAAAAATTAAAAGCCCATTCAAAGACAATATAATCAAAGTGATTTACAGCAAATGCAGCTTACCCATAGTGATGGTGCCAAAACCAAATGGTGCCCAACACCGACATGTTGATTACCGCAAAGTCAATGTAGTTACAAAATTTGATTCATATTCTATTCCACGGCTGGAAGCTCGTATTGAGATGGAGGCACAAGCAACTTAGACTTCAAAGTTGGGTTTACTCAAAGAATACCATATCCAAGAGTGTGAAGGAAATTTTGCCTTTTGTGACACCAGATGGGCTTTACCAGTTTAAAGTTATGCCCTTTGGTATGAAAAAACACACCAGCTACATTTTAAAGACTAACAAATAAAGTCATTTCAAGATTACCCAATTGTCTGGTATACAGAGGCAATCTGGTGATGTTTAGTCACACGTTTGGAGCATTCATCAGAAATTGTTTGATCAACATCAGAAGGTGGGCTTGATGATAAACCTGGCTAACAGTGAATTCACAAAAGGTCAAGTCATGCTCCCAGGCCATGTTATTGGACATGGACAGATGGCCCCATGGGATGTGAAAACAAAGAATAGCGGGGAGATTTCCATACTAGCGACAGAGAGGGAAGTATTATGGTTCCTGGGTGTTTTTCATCAAAAATTTGTACCAAATTTCAGCAGCATGATTGCTCCACAGCCTGACTTATTGAAGAACTGCAGAAAATGCCAGTAAATGGAAGAATGTCAGAAGGCATTTGATAACCTGGAAGCTGTGTTAACCAAGCAAAGCCTTTCAAAGTGGCTACTGATGCAAGTGATGTGGGTGTCAGTACTGCACTCTTACAAGAATATGGTGAAAAGATAAAGACCTACTGGGTATTTTTCCAGAAAGCTGAATATTCATCAAAAGTTGAATATTCACAGAGGAGATCTTGAATTTAGCACTGGCATTGCAAAATTTCAACATTTATATTGTCAGTAATGTGTCTGAGACAACGTGTCTGAGATCATAACACATTAAGGGTTAAAGATAAAAATACCAGGCTGCTTAGATGGATTTTATTGTTACAGTCATTTAATTTTACAATTATACATGTGGCAGGACAAGAGAACATGATTGCCAATGTGTTGTCATAACTGATAAAGGTGTTTGGCGGCAGAAGGAATGGATTGAAATGGATTGTAGCATTTAATGTTTGCATGCTTAGAATCAATATAATGTATAGGCACCGTAGCGTACTGATAGTATACGACTAAAGGTTCACACAAATGAAGCCATCTTTGTATATTGATGGGTTTTTTTTCCCCAAAGGGGGGAGGTGTGATGATACTATGGCATTAAGATGTGTATTTTGTCCTGTTGTTTTTTTTGAAGAGAAGTTTTGAAACTAGGTACTGAGATGTCTCCTCTAAGCCAATAAAGTAAACCATTTGTGAGGCCAAGTTCTTTTTTAAAATGTTGGAACAATAGAAGCAGCACGAATGGGTGGAATCAGGCTCCCACAAAACCAGGGCTTTAGTTTAGTTTTCAGTAGTTGAAGTTTGAACTTGGCTGTGGAAGCTATTAATCTCTCTCAGCTACAGCTATAAAGCTGGGTCCTGCCTCACATGCAATTCTGGCAGTGAGAATCTATTTTACTGAATTTGCTCTTGCCAAGGGTGTGTTTATGGAGTGTTAGAATATTGGAATAGTTGCTGTTTAGTAGTTATTTAATCGACTATTCCATTACATTTTCCAATAGAGCCAAAGTTATACCAAATCTTCTTTCCTTTGACTGTATTTTAACTGTAGGGCAAGAATAAAGTATATTTTGCTTAAAGTGTGAGTAGTTTAACCAATTGAATTACACCTGGAACACAGCGCTTTACACTTACCTTTAAATAAAAGCTAGGGAGAAGGCTTGATATATATATATATAAAAAGGGGGTTTTGTCTGGACAATAAAAAACCCTTAGATGTCCAAAAGATGGCAGACTTATCAAACGCTGTTCTGGGTAAAACCTTACAATGCTGAACATAAAATATCCAACATACAATTACAGGAAAGCAAACATGGATCTCTTTAGATTACAACTGAGAATATAAATCCAGTCATATATCTAATGAAAGAAGTTCAGTTCAAAATCTTAACTCCGTTTCTCCTTCTATAGATGCTGCCAAACCTGCTGAGTTTTTTGTTTACTTGGAACCATGATTTTGTTACAAATTTTATAGTTTCTGCAACGTTTTTCTTTTATGCAAGGAATGCACCTATGAAAGCTTGGCTTCCTGTTGCAATGATGCTGCAGAATCTCCATACTTCTTGTTGGAAATTACATCTATTAAAGCATGCTCAGTTAAACAGTGGTAAAGTATTCACTGATTTTATGACAATTTGTGATGCTATTCATCAGGTCACTTGTGAATAGTCTCACGTACCTGTAGTCTAAGGGATTTGAAGTGTATGTTCGACAGTAGTTTAGTGACAAAAGAGTGTCAATTCCATGCGCATGGGCAAGCTTTTTCCTCTTTATGTTTAATTGGTTGCAAGGTGACGTGTTCAACCATGATAATTTGAAAATGGTGTAAACCATCTTAAGAGACTCGAATAGACTCTAGGTAGAGTCATATAGCATGGAACAGACCCTTCGGTCCAACCTATCCATGCAGACCAGATATCCCAATCTGACCTAGTCCCATTTGCCAGCGTGTGGTCCAGATCCTTCTAAATCCTTCCTATTCATATACCCATCCAGATGCATTTTAAATGTTGTAACTGTACCAGTCTCCACCACTTCCTCCGACAGTCCATTCCATACACACACCACCCTCTGTGTGAAGTTGCTGCCCCTTAGGTCCCTTTTAAATATTTCCCCTCTCAACTTAAACCTATGCCCTCTAGTCAAGGTTTTTTCCACAGGGTAGGGAAGTCCAAAACTATTCACCCTATCCATGCTCATGATTTTATAAACCTCAATACAAGGTCACTCCTTAGCCTCCAACGCACCAGGGAAAAAAAAAGCTCCGGCCTATTCAGCCTCTCCCTATAACTCAAACCATCTAGTCCCAGCAGTATCCTTGCAAATCTTTTCTGCACACTCTCAAGTTTAACAACATTCTTCATTTAGAAGGGTGACCAGAATTCTACGCAACATTTTGAAAGTGGCCTCACCAACGTCCTGTATTACCCAATTAATGGTGGAACTTAGCTTTGGTTCCAACCAACAGCTTCTGTATCTGGGTATTTCCAGGGGGAACTAGCCAATTGGATACAAAGTTGGCATGAATGTACAAGAGAGAGGATTGGTTTTCAGACTGGAGACCTGTAACCAGCAGTGTGCCATAGTGTTTGGTGCTGGGTCCACTTCTTTTCACCGTTTATATAAATAATTTGGATGTGAATATAGGAAGCATGATTATTAATTTTGCAGATGACACCAAAGTCAGTGTTGTAGTGGACAGTGAAGAAAATTATTTCAGAGTACAATGGGACCTTGATCAGATGAGCCAATGGGCTGTGGAGGGGCAGATGGAGTTTAATTTAGATAAATGTGAGGTATTGCATTGGTAAGGTAAACCAGGGCAGGACTTCTACCGTTAATGGTAGGGCCCTGGGGAATGATGCTGAACAAAGAGTTTTAGGGGTGTAGGTGCATAGTTCCTTGAAAGTGGAGTCACAGGTAGACAAGGTGGCAAACGCAGCATTTGGCATGCCTGACTTCATTGGGCAGAACACTGAGTTTACGAGTTGGGACATCGTGTTTAGTGCAGTCTCCAGTAGTTTTTGACATTGAGTGATAGACTAACATGATTCAATAAAGGCACATGTATTAGTAGAGGCTAATTCCTCCTTCTTAAATCCAGATACCAATGTGAACCACTATGCTAAAGCCACTAAACCTACTGCACCAATGCTAAAACGTCGACTCATTCTAACTTAAATTTAGATATATGCATACAAACATAGGAATTAGCAGCAGACCCCTTGAGCCTGCTTTGCCATTCAAAAAGTTCTTAGCTAATCCGATTGTTAAAACTTGGAATTAGCCACATTAAACAGAAAGCAAAGAAAAAGATAATGTGTGTTCATTATTTTGGTGCAACATTTTGTTTTAATTCACTTATGTGATGTAGGTGTTGCTGGCTGGTGAAATGTTCTAACAAACAAAGGATAGAAATAAACTACAGTTAAGCAGAAAAAAATGAAAAAAGGAAAACAAACAAACAGTCACTTCATCCACCCACATAAATGAAACTTTAATGGTTGGAGTCCACAATTTACCCATAGTCTCAAATTTTACAAATCCCATAAATACACTAGTAATATTCTCTACATTAACTTTTTCCCCATAAGATATGTTAAATCACTGCTGTCTCTCTCCAGTGTTAGGAACAATCAATGGTTTGGCCTACATTCATAAACATAATAAGATACCAAGCTGTCAAATATACTCAATTCTCAATACAGTTATGTCATGAGCAAAATTGCACAATAAATCAATATCTTAAATATCCAAATAAAAGTAATTTCTCATTGTGTAGAGAAAAAACAAATGTGGTGCAACACAATTTACATGATTTGTTTCTAAGTTAGCTACATTTGTAATGATCCACTTTTACTATGAGCACTTGAAGCAAAACATTGTTTTAAATCAAAACAAAGACAAAGACAGAGACCAAGACAAAGACAAAGACATTCTTTAAACAAACAGTAATTGATTAAAGTATTACCACCAAATGCAGAGGAAAAAAAAAATCACAGTATATTAAATTTATCAGTAGTCAGAGCAGTGCGGTGCTACAACAAAACTTCACATTAAATCACACAGGCAGGTATAAGCATTTCCAAATAAGCTAGGGAAATAAACTGGCCACTGCTGACTGAACTACCAAAGAAACAAGCTTTCCACACACATGTGCACAAAATCCTGTAAATGGTTTTGAAGTCAGAAGATCGTTGAGCCATAAGAAATGCATTTCTTTCAGCTAGTATTGCTCACAGTGGATCAGGAGACCCATGTGTAAAAACTAAACTTTTCAATTTTCAAAGACGGAAACAAATTTAGAGATGTCTTTTGAAACCCAAATGCAACAGGAAGAAGTTACAAAAAGGAACTGCTCCACCAAGCTATTGCACAAAATGAAAATGCACTTATATTATTTATAATCTAAGTTGTTCAAAATTAACAGTGATTACCTTCCAATCAAACAAAATACCTTTACTATTAGTTAACTATGCATATACGGAAAATGGAAAAATGAAAAACTAGACTTATGCTATTATACACTGCTATACTTTAAGGGGATTGAATATCAAATAATGCTGTGAGCGTCATTTCCTTTGGTGTTAATTTTCAATTTCATTAGTGTGGTACTTTTCTAAGAATCAACACAAAGTATTGAAGCAACAACTCTTGTGCTAACCAAATGCATGTGACAAGGATTAGGCTCTGGACAACAATAAACAGCAGTGCATTCCTCAACTGAGAATTCTATTAGAGATTAACAAAGATTAGTTATAAGTTTCATTACAACAGAAAGCAAAACTGAATGAAAACCCTTATCCCAGGTGAAAGACATGTCTTGCAAGCTGGTGGAGTTTTAGATATTGAAAGCCTCATCAACAAAACAAAAACATAGGAGGCTTCAGTAGTGCAGTGTTCCAGTGGTATGGCATTTCTGACGGTTTCTCCTACAGGAAAGCACTTGGATTTGCTCGTGGATCTTTCTGGTTCCTGTATCTGTGTGTTAACCACACACCCAGGATCTGAAAAGGAACGCAATTTATAAGTTACCAAAGAGGTAATGTGCAAGAATAACTTGATTAAAAGAAATTTAAAGCTGTAGCTTCAAGAGAAATGGTAAGCTTCTGTACAATTACACGTATCACAATGAAAATAATTAACCTTTATTGCCCAGTTTAGAATGGATGAAGTAAGGAAGCACAGTGAAAAAACAATGAAGTAAAATGAAATAGGCAGCCAATTCCTAATTATTCATTTTTCTACTGAGAATAAAAATTACATCTACTCTCCTTGTGTTTAGTTCAGTGCTTCCCAAACACTCTCCTCACTGTGGCCTCACATCCAGGCTTATTAACTGTTATCACAGTGAGAACTGAGAGAGCAGAGCAGGGCTTCTGGCAGAATGGGGGCATGTGTGAGAAGGAGTATCACTGTTTTAACCTGGTTGGAACTCCAAAGTTACCACAGCTGCCTCAGGGTCCCAACCCATATTTTAGGAAGGCCTGGCTAAGAATGTTTTCTCTGGTCAGAAAGGCACTGACTGCGTTTGTGTATAAATTGTACCCATGTGTGTGCAAGTTGTAAAACGTACACCAACAATGTTTTCTCTTATGGTTCACATAGCTCCAAAATGACATGATAGAATTATGATTCTTGAAGAGGATAAATACAGACTAAGATACATACGAACATACAAACATATGAATTAAGTGACAACTTGGAACCTTGAGATTGCACCAGCATTCAATAACATCATGGCCAATCGGATTACTCCATATTCCCACCTAGCCACAATAAATTTTTATCCACTTACTCATCAAGAATCTACCTACCACTGCTTTACAAAGATTCAAGAGCTTAAATTAGATTTCAAGGAAGAGTGTTCCAAAGCCTCACAATCCTGAAAGAAAACACTTCTCCTTTTCTAAAAACCAAAAGAACTGCGGATGCTGTAAATCAGGAACAAAAACAAAGTTGCTGGAAAAGCTCAGCAGGTCTGGCAGCATCTGGGGAGGAGAAAACAGAGTTAACGTTTCGGGTCCGGTGACCCTTCCTCAGAACTTCTTCTTTTCTGTCTTAAATGGGCAAACTTTAAATTTTTGAACAGTGAACCCTCACGTTAAGATCTCGCACAGAGGAACCAGTTTTCCATATTCACCCTGTCATGTTTCCTCAGCATCTAATGCTTCAATCACATGCCTTTTCATTCTTGTAAACTCCAGCTGATAAAAGCCTACTCTGTCCAACTTTTACTCATTAGACAACCCAACCAATCCTGGTATATGTCAAGTGATTTTCTTCCAAACTGCCTCCAATGAATTTACATGCTTCCTTAAATAATATTTTACACAGTAATCTAGATGTGGTCTCACCAAATAACTGTATAGCCGAAGCATTACCCCTCTAGTTTTATATTCAATTCCCACGTTGCACTCCAGTTGCCAGATCTTTGCCCACTCACTTACACCACCTACATCCCTTTGCAGCTTCCTGTTGTCTTTTTCCCAATGTACATTTCTACCTAATTTTGTATCATCAGCAAATTTAGCAAACATACCTTCCATTACTTTATCAATGTCATTTACATACATTGTAAAAAATTGAGGCCAAGCATTGATTCTTATGCCACACTTATTCAATGTTGCAAAGCAGAAAATTACTTACGTCTACTTTCTCTATCCATGCCAATTCATCATCCCTTACACCAGTCATTTTGGGATTTGGCACCTAAGCAACTGCCTTGTGAAAATCTAAATAGAGTACATTTGCTGTTAATCCTTTACCCAAAGCACGTACTACTTCTTGAACATTCCCTTTCCCAAAACCATGTTGGCTCTGCCTGATCATCCTCAGCTTCAGTAGGCACCTTGCTATAACATCTTTAATGACAACTTCCAACATTTTCCCTATAATAAGTATTAAGCTAACTAGCTTGCAGTTTCCTGAACGCCATCTCCTTCCGCTGTTGAATAAAGAAGTTTCGTTCATCATTTTCCAAGCTAGTAGAATCTTTCTTGAATCAAGGCAAATTTGGAAAGTGAAAACCAATGCATCAGCTACCTCACAAGCTATTTTCTCTTAAGACCTTCGGAGGAGGTCCATCAAAACCTGGGGGCTAGTTAACTATAACAATTTGCTCCAACCACTTTCCTGATAAATTTCTTAAAAAGACCTCCTACCCTTTCTCGATTTATGGCTATTCCTGGGATATTACTTGTTTCATCTGTAGTGAAGACCAATGCAAAATACCTATTCAATTCATCAGCCATCTCTTATTTAGCACTTATTAATTCCCCAGATTCACTTTCTATATGATCGTTAGCATAGATTTGCAAGAGAGGTAACAGACAAACTTGATTGAATTTTTCAAGGAAAGTAACCAGGAGTTAGATAAGAATAATGCAAATAGCGTGGTGTACAATAGATTTATGCAAAACTTATGATTAGGTCCCTCATGGTCCAGACTCGTCAAAAAAGTAAGAGCTCATTGCAAAGTAAGACATTGGATCAAAAATTGGCTGAGAGAGAAGCAGGTGGTGATGGTAGATGGACGTTCCTGCAATGAGAATTTTGTGTCCAGTGGGGTTCCACAGTGCCCTTGCTGCTTGTGGTGTACACTTTTGACTTGGACATAAATGCAGGGGGTACAATCGAGAAGTCTGCAGATAACACAAGTGTAGCTTGGTAAATAACAAAGTGGATATCAACCAACTGGTCAGCCAAGCAGGGCGGTGGCAAATGGAATTCAGCCCGGAAAAGTGGGAGGTAGTGCACTCGGAGATGGCTAACAAGGCAAAGGATTGCACCATGTGTAGCAGGACCCTGAAAAGCACTGAAGATCAAAGTGACCTTGATATGCATATCCACAGATCCCTGACAGTAGAAAGTAGATAAGGTGGTTAAGAAGGCACAAGGGACACTTGCAGAGGTATAGAATACAAAAACAAGGAGTTGTGGTGAAACTGTATGAAACTCGAATTGGGCTAGGGAAGGCATCATAATATTCCAGTCACCACATTATAGGGAGGATGCTGTTGCACCACAGAGTATGCAGAGGAGTTTTTCCAGGATCCTAGCCGGGTAGGAGAGTCTGAGCTAGAAGGAAATATTGGATAGATTAGAGTTGTTTACTTTGGAGCAGGAGACTTGTGAGAGGACTTGATAGAAGTGTGAGATATATGGTGAATAGGAAGGCATTTTTTTTCCATTCGTGGAGGGTCAATAACCAGGGCACAGATTTAAGGTGAGAGAAAGAAGGCTAAAAAGGGAGTTGAAGAGTAATATTTTCAACTGGAAGTGGTGAGTGTCTGGAATTTACTGCCTGAATGAGTGGTTGAGTCAGAAACTTCAGTAACATTTAATCAATTGTTAGATATTTACTTGCATTGCCATAGCCTCCAGAGCTTTGGGCCAAAAATCAGAAAATAAGATCAATGTAGTCAGATCTTTGTTGACTGGTATAGAAACAATTGACAAAATGGCCTCCTTCTGGGCTATAAATATTTATGAGTCTACAAGCAGCTGATTGGGAGCACTCTTGGAGTGATCACGTAGTTTGTGTCGTGAGAGATTTTCAGAGGGGAAAAAGAAACACAAAAATATATTAGCCTGCTTCTGATTTAGCACAATCCAAAGTGACTTTTGCTTCGGAAAATCCATAGATGAGAAAGCTTTTGTGTCAGTTTACAGAAGACCAATGGGTGAACAGCTTCTCTTGGGGAAAGGTATTAGTTTAGAATATTTAGGAAATAGGTTACCTCAGCGAGAGTTTTAGGTTGAAAATTCCAGACCAGAAGTGTTTAGTTAGGAAACTGGAAAGAGTGATTTGAAGCTATGAATGTTTAACTTCAGTGGAGGGTATAACTGAGGCAGAGGATATCAAACGCTTAAGGCCAAGAACTGAAACAAACACAGTTAAGTCAAACCATTAGACGTGATGGAGAACAGGACTCTCTCTGGTGCTTGCGCACTGTTAAGTGATGGTTTGGGATGGATGGTGTTTTGTTCTGCCACAATTATCAAAATGTATCAAATTTTGTTATAATGAAATAGCTTGGTTTGTTCTATTCTACCTTCAAATCATTTGGGTCTTCAAATTTTGTTTTATTGTTAAAGCCAAATCTGCAGCATTGTGGGCTCTTGTAATTCAGTGAAAGACTACCACATTAAATATTTTTTAAGAAGGATCAAATCAAGCTGACTTTCAATCTGAGATCATATTACTTAATGAAGTGGTGTTCAGATCAGTAGCACACTACAATACTCAATCCCAAATTAATACATCATCAAAAAGTTTGGTAATTACAGAATGCATTCTTCAGGTGTTTCAAATTTTCGTTGTTTTGGGAGCTGTAAAACATTATATACATTTATTATACTCTTGGGCTGAAATTCCAAAGGGAATTTATTGAAGGGTAACCATGTCAGAACGGAAGAAAAGTCTGATTCATGCTAGACAATGGCTGAACCAGTTCTTTTAAATTCAATTATCCATTGAACATAAGTTGAATAACATGATCACAAAAAATGAGGAGTATGTTGAACTTGTACAAGACCTGGAGTTTGTTTTTTTTTTCTAGTTTTGGCACCACACTATACAAAGGATATGATTGCATTAGAAAGAACGTAACAGATTTAAAACAATGGCTCCTGCAATGAGAAACTTCAGTTATTAGGTAAGATTGAAGCGTATAGGACTATTTGATGCGGGAGAAGCCATGAGGAGATCTAGAAGAAAATTTCAAAATCATGAGGAGCCTGGGCAGAATAGAATGTAGGAAACTTCTCATTCGTAAAAGGATCAAGAATGAGAGGGCTCAGACTGAAAATGATTTGTGAAAGCACACAAAAGCTCAGACTGCAGCTCTGGCAGCAGCTGTGGAGAGAAAACAGATTTAACATTTCTTCAGAACAGATAGCAGCTAGGAAAAGGTGGAATTTATACAGATGACGGAGAGATAGCGGGGAAAGGTATGAGTGGATAGGTGGAAAGAGAACCCAGTGAGACAGAGACAGAAACAGTTAGGCACACAAAAGGGATGGAGATAGTAAGCCAGGGGTTATGAGTAGGCAAAAACGGTTTGACTACTGAAAGTAATCCATATCATGACAGGACTTGGTTAGAGACAAAAAAATACTGCAGATGCTGGAATCCAAGGTAGACAAACAGGAGGCTGGAAGAACGCAGCAGGCCCAGCAGCATCTGGAGGAAAGGAGAAGTCAACGTTTCGGGTATTACCTTTCTTCAGTCCTGAAGGTAGCATTAAACTCGATATGGAGTCCTGAAGGCTATAATATACCCAACTGGAAAATGAGGTGTTGCTCGTCCAGCTTGCATTAAGTCTAGCTGGAGCACAGCAGCAGGGCTGTCTTTTTCTGTCCCTCTCCATTCACTAAACCAAACCCCCAACTAAACAGGAGCAAAAATGCCACCTTTTCCTAGATGCTATCAGTTCTGAATAAAGGGCACTGGACTCAAAACATTAACTCTGTGTTCTTTCCACAGATCTGCTGAGTTCCACAAATTTCTGTTTTTATGTTTCTACTGTTCTTTGCTTTTTATACAAAAGAAGCAATTGTGACGTGAGAAAAGAATCTTTTTTCACACACAAATGGTCTGGATTAGGATTGCAATGCCTTCAAGAGTGATAGAAGCAGGCACAATTGTGGTGTTAGAGGGGAATAAGTAATTATTTAAATATGAACAGTATGCAAGGAAATGGGAAAAGGCAGGAGAGTGGCACTAAGCCATGATGCTCACTTGGAGAGCTAATGCCAACACAGTCGGCCCAAAAAGCCTCCTTTGGCACTGTTACAATTCTGTGATTCTATAATAAATGTAAGATTAATCATATTTTTCTGCTGTCACCTCTCAAGTCATGTAACTGTAGTGCAACAACTTCTCCATCATTGAACATACATCTACTTAAAAATAAAAACACAAAAGACAAAACCACAATGGTCCAGTTTGCAGAAAATATCACAGTTGTTACAACACAAACAACTCTTGAAATCAATAGAATAGGAGCAAAACAGAAGTGCTGGTAGCTAACTTAGTAAGCTCGTCAAAAGAAAAACTTTTCAAAAACAGGAGCATTAGAAATATTGAAATTATTCAGGATAAACCTTAGGACACTGCTTAAATCATGGTGTCCACTGCAACATTCACCTGCCATACCAAACAACTAATAACTACGTTTGGAAATTCTCCTGAATATACATACTATATAAAGTAGAACTCCATAACAATGGAATATGAACTTTCTATACAATGAAATAAATACAAAGCATGAAAACTATTTCAATTTTTCACAGATAATAGGAACTGCAGATGCAGGAGAATCTGAGATAACAAGGTGTAGAGCTGGATAAACACAGCAAGCCAAGCAGCATCAGAGGAGCAGAAAAGCTGACGTTTCAGACCTAGACCCTTCTGCAGAAAAAATTTTTCACAACTTGGATGTGAAAATCACTCCTAATGTTAACAGAAGTACTTAAATGCCTTTTAAACAAAAACAGAAATTTGCTGACCTCAGTGAAACTGAAGAAAAGACCTATGCCACCGACAAATCTCAGTACTTCACCAGCATAGGTTTTTAAGATCGGTCCACATGGATGACAATCATTAGCAACAACACAATGCTGGAACAAGAGAAAAGATGGCAGTGATTGTATTTCTTTACAATTCATGTTATTTTCAACAGTAAAGTTTTCACTTTTAATTTCTTTGGTGGACGCCAAGTCTCAATAATTCAAAGCTGTCAAACAGAAGAAATGTAGAATAAACACAACGGCCATTTTTCCTGCTTATTACCCCCCAACATTTTAAGAGATCATGGCAACTCTTGTTGTCACAAGGGAAAAGTTCCCAATATTGGAATAAACACCTTGTAGCACGAGAAGACCATGAAGCTCATTTTGTTGATGAGTTCCATCTCTTTGCACAGATAGAGAGTCAGGTAAGTATTATCAGGGGACAAATATGGATCCGTTATTTCTACAGGACCTCATTTGTGCAGTTGGTGCATTTTTGAACATCCTTAGACGGTGAGGGCGAAAATAAAAGATGGACAGAAATTTATGGACAATAGCCTTAAATTGCCAATATAAACCAGTTGTGTTCAAGCAAAGCCTTCAATAAAAGTACCTTTAAATTTGACAAAAAAACAAATTCAAAATGGCTAAAACTTCAAACACAGTGACACTGATTTATAAAATCTTTATATTCATATTTACACAAATCTTTCCAATATCT